GTTCAGTTACAGCAGGTCTGATTAGATAGGTGGAAAGTTCACTTTCACACTGAGATCTTCTATACATTTTCTGAAGAAATTACATAAATCCCAAAGATTTTTTTCATGCTTAAATGAATTCATGATTGACTAAAAAGTTCAAAGTTAAACGGGAAATGTTTGCATCTATTGGTCTTACCTGTAGAGATATTGACATCATAGATCTGTAGATTCCTGCTGTTGATGGGGTAGCTGATGTTTCTTAGCTTCGCTACGGCTTCAAAATCTTTGCTTTTCAACTTTATAGAAAGAAAGTAAGGATGGAAGACTGGAAGATCTGCAAAAAAAATATTTAAAAAAGATCAAATTCAAAGGAAGGCACAGCATTTTTTAGGCATATCCCATTCTACATTTTTAACTAAAGTCATTAATAGTATCACTAAAATGAGTCCATGTAGTCTGAAGTACATTCATGACAGCTGTAGAGTGTGTCAGGCAAATTAGCATTTAGGTTTTTACATTGATAATGGGTCTGGGTTAACAGGATTTGTGTAGTTTATACGTTTTTATATAAACTAATATACTGATAATAGATGAAGAAATGTTTCATGGCATCTTTAAATCAAAATCTATCTTACTAGTTAAAAAGTACAAATCAGTTCTATGTTTGGATTCCAGTTAGAACAAAAGTGTAACATTTCTTACTAGTTGTTGGTGCTGTCGTTGGGCAGGGATTTAGATCTGTTTTACAAAGACAGTTTTTTTTTTATTTAATTACACTCTGAGCAAATTGAATCAAATGTTGAAGTAAAAAAACAAAATAGTAAAACCTACCTGACAGTGGCTGGCAGTAAGTATTATTTGGAGGAAGTGCATTGATGCATCCACAGGTATTGTCTGGAAGGTTGCTGTATTCACCAAAAGTGGAGCACATGTCACAAGGCCAGCCATACTGATCCTCACATCTGCACTGGTGGCTTGTATTATAGGGGGAGCACACTGAAAGCAAGACAGATTGTTTCAACAGTTAGAAACTGCATCCTATCAAATCTATCAATGTTATTAAAGGTATGATTATTACCTGTAGAGATGTTAACATCAGAGATGTGTAGATTGCTGCTGATGATGGGGTAGCTGATGTTTCTCAGTTTTTCTACAGCTGCAACTGTTGTTGTTTTCAGCTTTATAGAAAGAAGGTACCGACAGAAGACTGGAGGAGGAGAGGAAGAAGTAAACAAAAAAGTTCACAAATGAGCATACTGTAGGTTTGCTATATGACTCAACTAGATAAAGTTATATATTTTAACCTTATGAAGGTCCTTTAATTCTTACCTTTTGGTGCTATGGTTGATAGTTGAGAACATGCTGTAAAATCTGAATAAATAAAGGGAGATAGTGATTGATTGACTTTATTGATGTCACAGTAGAGGAGTTTACTTGTTACATCAGTTCAAATAGTCAAAGAAGAGGAAAGTGAAGAAGAGATGCGCATCTCACATATTTTGTTGAATGTTTTGTGATCAATTTTGCTTTAAGTGACATTAGCACATTAGCAGACCATTATTTTGGTGTTAGGTTGCTCACATTGCATACTGCAGCATATTCTTATTAATAAGTTACCTCTATTTAAAAAATAAAATCTAAATGCAACAGCCTAATAAGCAAATCGTGAAAAAAGTAATAAGTGGCAAATTGTTGATTTTTTTTCATAAGGTAAATATTGAAATATTTGTCCCTATTTTCAGACAAAATGGTCCATATGAAGAAAAATTATAGACACATTTTCTTAAGAGCAATAGCCCCTGTTTAATTTTTTTTTTTTTTGAAGAAGTGCGAATGTTGTGTTCACTTCAATTCCATTCACCTTATTTATATGGTGCCAATTGACAAAAGATGTCATCTCAAGGCACTGTACAGAGACAATTCAACCAGATCACACAGTCAAATTGTTTCAAAGTTTTCATTCTAATGAGAACGAGTTCATTGTATTAACTCATTGACTCGAAGGCAATCCCTCACACCAAACATGCTTCTAGTGACTGTTGTGCCACAGTGCCATAAAACTAGTGAAAATTAACACATTTAATAGAAAGGCATATATTTAAGCCTAAAAGCAAAATGCACAGATAACCGAATCAGCTTCAATGAGGCTTAGAAGTCATTCTGCAAGTCAGCATCATATTTCACCAAAGTCTTGGAGTTCATCAGAGTGTATTTTGTCAAATGCGAGATGAGCTTTTGCTTTCTTTATTACTGGCTATTACTTTTACTTTAAATCTCCCAAACAGGTTGTGTTTGCCCAGTCTCTTTCTTTTATGATATTGGACTTTGGCCTTAACTGAGGAGAAAAGCATCTTCAGTGCTTTATATGTTGTTCCATGTTATTTTGTGACCTTTGAGTTGAATCGCTGGTGAGCTATTGGAGTCATTGTCTTAATTGGCCTTTCTTGGTAATGTTTGTCATCACTACACATTTTATCCAGCTATCGACGATAACTCTCACTTTGATTTAATGGTGCCTCAGAGTCTTAGAATTGTGATATTATACTCTTTATGAATTAATCATTTTAATGTATTTGTTTTCTTCTGTTCTTGAAATCTTTTGTAGGATGTGATACTTTCTGACATGTTTTAGGTTCCTGGGGCTTCTATTTAGATTTGTCATATCTAAAAGGGCAGACAAACAACGCATCGGTAGTCGGGTTATTAGGTTAGCATTCAAGAAAAAATTTTTTAATTAGAGTTAACTCATTGTTTTCATATTTGATCATTTCAGCTATCCACAGAAACTGTAAAAGCTGGTGAACCGGAGACTACTAACAAAAAAAGCAGATTTTCTCAACACCAAACATGAAGCGTCTCTCTCTTTGTCATACAAATCATAAATTATAAATGTAGAACTGATAAGAATGAACATAATGTTGATATCAGTTATAGGCATCTGGTTTAATAATGTGTACAGTTTGTTAATTTTGAATAAAACAGTTATTATAAATACAAAGACTCACTGTATTGATCCAGAGACTGGCAGTACTGTCCATCAGCAGGAATGTCACTGATGCATCCACAAGTGTCTCCCGTTATGTTGTCACATGATCCATATGTTTGACACTGGTCACATGACCAACGATACTGATCCTCACATCTGCACTGGTGGCTTGTATTATAGGGGGAGCACACTGAAAGCAAGACAGATTGTTTCAACAGTTAGAAACTGCATCCCATCAAATCTATCAATGTTATTAAAGGTGTGATTATTACCTGTAGAGATGTTGACATCAGAGACATGTGCTTTGCTGTTGATGCTGACAGGGTAGCTGATGCTTCTAAGCTCTTCTATAGCCGTAACATCTGTGAAGTTTAGCTCAACAGACAGCAGGAATATAATGATGACTGATGGAGCTGTAGATGTTGGAATATGAGACAATCATGATTAATATTTATAAAATAACTACGGTACTCCTTATAAATGAAAGTTGATCATGCTTTAGTCTTACATGTTGGTGTTGAAGGTGTTGAGGTAATTTGACAAGATGTAAAATCTGTAAACATGAGGACAGAAGGAATCCCTTTAATCGATTACATGTATACTAATAGAACAAAAATGTAATAGATCGCTCACACAGCCTATTTAAAGCTCTGAGTTATTGTTGGATTCAGAAAATGTAGATTTGCAAATAAATAGAAATTGAGTCTACACAGGAAAGAGATTCAAGCAGCTTCTGCAGGAGTGGAAAAAAAAAAGCCTAACCCAACTTCAAGCTTTCCTTCCCCGAATCCCCTCTTGCAGCCGTCTTTTATTAACAGATCATAATACATGGTTACAAAACAGTATTTGTTCTGACAGAACAATTGATCAGTTCATAGAGACAAGATGCTCCATCAGAATGACAAGGCAGGATGGTCTCCTGACTGCATCACAAGACACAGTGCAGCATCCCCCTTGCACAAATGATTCATAAGCACACATTAATTTTATAATCATCACTGAATAAACCTGACAGTTATCCTTCATCAATTCTGGCTAAAGCTCTCATTCTAGTCAGCCTCTACCCTGATACAACTATTAGCATGTTACGCAGGCATTCTGTCTAAAAAAAAGAATATTGTTATGTCATTGTTAAAAAGAAAAAGAAAGAGTAACAATTAACTATAAAAAATCTACTGTTACTTTTAGACTTACAGTAGATAAACCTTCTTAAAAGAAAAGCCAGTATAACTAGCATGTTATACTGGCTTTCCTCATAAAAAAAACCCAACAAAAATTGTTATGTTGTCGTAACGAAGAGTAACAATTATCCATAAAAAATCCACTTTTAAAATATTCTTTCTTATTTTATGGTCCTATTTCTATCAGATGTGTCATGCTGATTCAAAGGCAGAGGGCATACACTAACCAACACTGAGGTAAAAAAAAAAAAAAATTTTTTAGTTTAACGTAAATCATTGTGAAGTTCAAATGACTAATTAAAATTTTATTAAGATTATATTTTTAGGAGAAAACATATTTTTGTTTTACATAAAGTATCTAAATAAACTCACTGTATTGATCCAGAGACTGGCAGTACTGTCCATCAGCAGGAATG